GACATTTTGTAACAGAATAATAGAGTTGGAAGGGACCTTGGAGGTCTTCTAGTCCAACCCCCTGCTCAAACAAGAGACCTGATATCATTCCAGACAAATGGCTATCCAATCTCTTCTTTAAAAAAAAACCCAATGATGGAGCACCCACAACTTCTGAAGGCAAACCATTCCACAAATTAATTGTTCTAACGGTCAGAAAATTCCTTCTTAGTTCTAGGTTGGATCCCTCTTTGATTAGTTTCCATCCATTTTTTCTTATCCTGCCTTCAGGTGCTTTGGAGAATAAAAAGCTCTTCTTTGTGGCAGCCCCTCAAATATTGGAAGACAGCTATCATGTCTCCCCTGGTCCTTCTTTTTTACTAGACTCAATTCCTGCAACCGTCCTTCATATATTTTAGCCTCCAGTCCCCTAATCATCTTTGTTGTTTTCTTCTGCATTCTTTCCAGAGTCTCTACATCTTTTTGTATAATATGGTGGCCAAAACAAGTATTTTAAGTGTGATTTTACTAAGGCTTTATAAAGTGGTACTAATATGTCACGTGATCTTGATTCTATCCCTCTGTTAATGCCATCTAGGATTACGTTGGCTTTTTTGGCTGCTGCCACACACTGCTGGCTCATCGTTCAGCTGGAATTAGCTTAGCAAACAAGGACATTGACATAGGCAAGAAAAACCAAATGTACAGGTATAGTATAGGGGGTACCTTGCTCAATAGTAGTAACTGCGAGAGGGATCTCGGAGTCCTAGTGGAAAATCACTTAAATATGAGCCAGTAGTGTGCTGCAGCTGCCAAAAAGGCCAACACAGTGCTGGGCTGCATTAACAGAGGGGTAGAATCAAGATCACGTGAAGTATTAATACCACTTTACAATGCCTTGGTAAGGCCACACTTGGAATACTGCATCCAGTTTTGGTCACCACGATGTAAAAAAGATGCTGAGACTCTAGAAAGAGTACAGAGAAGAGCAACAAAGATGATCAGGGGACTGGAGGCTAAAGCATATAAGGAATGGCTGCTGGAATTGGGGATGTCTAGTTTAGCGAAGAGAAGGACGAGGGGGGATATGATAGCAGTCTTCCAGTATCTCAGGGGCTGCCCCAAAGAAGAGGGAGTCAAGCTATTCTCCAAAGCGCCTGAAGGCAGGACAAGAAGCAACGGATGGAAACTGATCAAGGAGAGAAGCAACTTAGAACTAAGGAGAAACTTCCTGACAGTTAGAACAATTAACCAGTGGAACAACCTGCCTCCAGAAGCGGTGAATGCTCCAACACTGGAAGTTTTTAAGAAGAGACTGGACAGCCATTTGTCTGAAATGGT